GACGGGCAGGCCGCGGAGAGGGGAACCTGCGGGACCCGGGCCTCGCCGGACGGGCAGGACGCGGGGAGGGGAACCTGCGGGACCCGGGCCTCGCCGGACGGGCAGGACGCGGAAGGAGCCGAGGCCTGCGGGAAATCACTGTTTATTGGCTGTGATTCCATCCGGAGAGGAAACGCCCGGCCCCCACATGCGGGCGGGGCGCGGGAGGACGGACAGACAGGCGGCCGGCGGCCCCAGGCGCGGGAACGGGTGCGGTCACGGGGAACGCGCTCGGAGCCAGCTTTCGGTGCGAGGACGCGGCATCTCGGAAGACGCGGGAGGCGGGGCGCGCGGGGTGATGCGCAGTATTGCAGTCTAATCGTATGGCTTCTCTAGAGCTACGTGAGGTCATGGAGGTCAGCGCCAAGCCACGCCCCTGGCCGCCCTGGGACACACAGCCGTCTGACTGGACAGAAAGCGCTGGGGGCAGAATGGCCTGTCTGTCACGGGAAAACTAAACAGATACAGAAGACCTCATTTACCTGAGATTCAACAGATTGTGATGCAAATTAAACAAGGTGAACGGAGGGGTGGGCGCGCACAGCCGCCCGGCCCGGCCTCAGGCCGTCAGAGCAGGGCTGCGGGGAGAACCGCTCCGCCCCGCGCCCTCCCCCTCCCCCACCGGTGGCTTCCTGGGCCTCTCTGGAAGTGGGCGCTCAGGGGATCCGCAGCCCCCTCCGACACAGGACAGGGACCCACGGGGAGAGGGGGCTCAGGGTGAGCGTCTTGGGGAAGGGTGCACAGAGACTGGAGAGTGCCTGGAGCCCCTCCCAAGCCTACTGCCTTGTTTCCTCTGGCTGAGACGAATAGGCCGGCCGGCCACAGTGTTTCTAGAAAGCCAAACCTGTGGAACAATGAAGAGCAACAGAAAGTGACAGCTAGACAGACGTCAGGGCCTGCAGATGGAGGTCAGGGGGACGCAGGCAGGCAGGCAGACCACGCGCGGTCCAGCTGGGCCAACAGGTCCAGACACCCTGGTGCCAGGCATCAGGGGGGGCTGGGAGCCCGGGCCGGAGCCCACCCCAACTGCACAACTGCTCCGCTCCGACTATGGCTGTGCTCCTGAGTTTGGGCCCTCATAGGTGCCCACAGACAGGGACGGCGCGCCCAGGGGTGGTCAAGGGGCTGGCCCTCTCAGGGCCTGACCTGGGGCGGGCTGAGGGGGGTAGGCGAGGACGGGCGGTGCCCTGGATGGCTGTGGGGGAGGGGCACGGAAGGACAGATCTAGGACTATGGCTTATTTTGGCGTTGGGGGTGCTGCATCTGCTCCCGACATCCTGCGGGGCCTCCGTGGGGTCTGTACAGGGAAGGTGGGGCAGGGTCTCGGCCTCCGGCCAGCTTGGTGTTACTTCTTGAACATGTCCTGCAGCGGCCCGGGCAGGTACTTGATGACGGTGTCCAGGATGCTCTCGTCCTCCTCCTCGGGCTCGTCCCCGCAGCCCGGGGGGATGGCCTTCTTGGGTCGCGTCAGACTGCCCTCCGAGTTGGCCTCCATGGCAGCCTGGGCCTCCGCCTCTCGTTCTTCCTTCTTCTTGATGCCGTACTGCAGGGAGAGGGCGTTCAGGGGGCAGCTCTGCACAGCCAGTCCTGCGCCCCTGGGCCTTCCCGCCCCCGGAGAGTCCCCAACCCACGCCTGCATCTGGCATGGGGACCCCAAAGGGCAGGGGGCTTCCTGTGAGAGCTGCATAAGGTTACAGGGGTGTGGAGAGCCCTACCCTTGGGACCCCAAGTCAGAGCCCTGGCTCCTCCAGCCACCGCTTTCCTGGAGACCTGCATCCTGGGAACCTGGAGGTGTGTGTCTGAAAACTCAAACCTAAAGCTTTGTTTATACTGGCTGAGAGGGAGCACCCTCGAACAGAAAGACAAAAGAAGGGAGGGATGGACAGAAAGAGGGGCCTGGTACCAGAAGCCCTTCACTCTGTGGTCTGGCTGTCCGATGCTTCCTGGCTGTGGCGTAGGCTGCCTGGCCACTCTGCAGCCCGGGGCAGTCAGCAAAGCCTGCCCCGACATGATCTCAGCAAACACACTGAGCCCCTTCCCTACCCTCCATTCTCATTCTCCTGTCAGGACAGAAAGGTAGGTAGGTGGATAGGTAGATGATAGATAGATTCATGGAGAGGGGATAGATACTTAGATGGATGATAGGTAGATGATAGATAGGTAAACACTAGATACATACACAGATAGATACATAAATAGATGAGGAGACAAAACATTATATTCTTTTTTTAGAACAAGTATCAAAAGGGCCTAACACAAACCAGGAAGCAAACTGAAAAAGCACATAAACTCCCCTCCCATCATACCTCCTCTTTAATGATAAATTACAAGATTGGAGGCTTTGGAGGGACTATCCACATTTACCTTTTTTCAAACAGTGAACATCTGGGAGCTCTGGTTAGGCAAAGAACGGAAAGTCTGGGCACCTGTGGCTCTAAGCTGTCATCCTAGTTATTCGAGGCTGAGGGTGATGGATGGAAGCCAGCCAGGAGGGGAAGGTCTATGAGAATATATCCAAGTAACCACCAAAAAGCCATCAGTGAAACTGTGGCACAAGTGGTAGAGCACTAGCCTTGAACTAAGCATTATTGCTTAGGGACATCACCCACGCCCTGAGTTCAAACAAGGACTGGCACCAAAAAAGGGGGGGAGGGGAGGAACCTACAGATGAAAACCATTTGAGTCTCTTTTTATTTGTTAGTCATGGGGCTTGAACTCAGGACTTAGGCACTGTCCTTGAGCTCTTTTGCTCAACTCAAGCACTCTACCACTTGGGCCACAGCACAACTTCTGGTTTTCTGGTGGTTAATTGGAGATAAGAGTCTCCAGGCCTTCCTGCCCAGACTGGCTTTGAACTGTGATCCTCAGATCTCAGTCTCCTGAGTAGCTAGGGTGACAGGCGTGAGCCACCAGCACCCAGCTCCCATTTGAGTCTTTAACTCCCATTTTTTGCATGGGGGAAAAAGGAAGTGTTTCTCTTTTTTCATTTCTTCCTACTTTATGTTATACTAAAATCCTTGCTAAAACCTTAATGTGGAAAGTGGGAGATTGATAGAACCCCTCCATTTTTCAGTGACATTGTTGCTTGTCTTCGAACTGTGGGTAATTTTAGGAAGAGCCATCTTCAGCTCCCAGCCCCAGAGAGGGGGACTGGACTCCACTTCCTCAGTGACTCCTCCGTGCTGACAGGAGAGCCGAGACTACAGTTCCTGTGGCAGGTGACAGGGCATGCTGCGTATGTTAGAGACAGCTCTGTCCCCACCCAGGGGGACTGCTTACGGTCCTGCTTGCGGCTACCCCCAGCGACAGTCTGGCCTGCCCAGGCAGAGCCGGGCAGGGAGGGGGGGCGCCTGTGCTTTTGTCCCTACCTGTGGGGCAGCATAGACACTGCCAGACTCTGGGCTAAGCCAAGACTAGGGATGAGGATGGGTGTGAAGTACGAGGGATCACAAAACCCTAAGAGCACCTCTGAGGAAAGTCCATGGTGTTAGCACTGGCAGCAATCCGAGGCTGCCGGCCCCACCCGCACCGGCCATGGCAGATATGCAGGCAGGCCCCCAGCAGGCAAAGGGGCAAGGAGGGGGCTCGCAGCCTGGGCTGGGCCTTGCCTCTTCCCCAGGTGGGATCTGACTCCGTTACCCTGACAGTGGCTGGGATCGCAGGCAGGTTGGGTGGTGCCCACCTTGTCTCTGATGCCCTGTCGCATGACCTCACGCTCGGCCTCCATCTTGGCGTACTTGGCCTTGCGCTCCTCTTCCTCCTGCCTCAGTGCCTCCTGCCGCTCCTCCTCCTTCTTGGCAGCATCAGGGTCCTTCTCTTCGTCACCCCCGAGCATCTTCCCCATGTCCTTGGTGGCCCCTGTGAACAGCAGGGCAAAGATAAGAGCTGAACGCAGGGCCCTGGAACCCCCCTGCCAGCTCTGGCATCCGCTGCTGCCAGGGAAGTGGTTTACAGGAGGAGGCTGTGTGGTCTGAGCGGTGACTGGGTGGCCATGGTGTGTGCATGTGTGCTTGCAGTGTGGGCGTACGCTCCCGAGGGCAGGTGTGGAGAAGGCGGTGGGGGCAGATGCCTGGACAGGCCTGCTGCTCCGAAGCCTGGACCGACGTGGCCCGGCTGCAGGCGCCGTCTGCACCATCACCGAAGCCCTAATTCCCCCTCTGCCAGCCACCACTTTTCTCATGAGCTCCTGAGTCACAGACACCTCCCCAAACGCCCTGCAGCTCGGCCCCCAAGACCAAGATAGTAATTACAGCATGAGCCCCAGCAGGCGAGCCCTGCCCCAGGCGGCCTCCAGATGCTGGTCACCCCAGGCAGGAGCCTGTCTGGTGGGGCCTGCTTTGCTGCCGCCCTGGATGCTGCCGGCCCCCCACACACACACACACACCCTGACTGACAGGAGCAAGGCCACATCCTGCCCCCCCTCCGCACTGCAGCTGGGGGGAGGGTGACCTCCCCCAGGCGCGCTCACCGTGAGAGCTGCCGTGCTCAGTCCTACCCCACACCTCGGGGACACCCAGGTCCTCTGCAGAGGAGGGAGAGGGCTGCCATCGCCAACGGGAGGCTGTGGGGAGGAGAGCAGGGGCCAGACGCTGCTGACGCCAAGGGGAACAGGAGCCTCCCGGCCAGTTCTCAGCCACGTCTACAAGACTTCACAGACCTCTCCAAGGAAAGCTGGTCATGGAGTAGCATATTCTTTTTTTTTTTTTTTTTGTCGGTCGTGGGGCTTGAACTCTGGGCCTGGGCGCTGTCCCTCAGCTTTTCAGCTCAAGGCGAGCGCTTTACCACTTGAGCTACAGTGCCACTTCCGGTTTTCTGGTGGTTTATTGGAGATAAGAATCTCACAGACTTTCCTGCCTGGGCTGGCTTTGAACCACGATCCTCAGATCTCAGCCTCCTGAGTTGCTAGGATTACAGGCGTGAGCCACCAGCGCCCGGCGAGTAGCATATTCTTATGGTTCCCAGATACTGAGGACAGAAGCTCCAGATATGAGATCCCTGCTAGAACAAGCTAATTCACACAACAGTGAGAGAGACTTTCTTCCTCCTGGAAGGAGCAGGTAAACTAAAGTGGAAGGAGCTACACCAGGTCCCCAGTTCTCTCCTGAGAGGTGTATGGTGGCTAGGTCAGGCAGGAGAGCCCAGTGACACAGCCCGCACTGCTAGGCCTGCTCCTCCAAATATCATCAGGCCGTGGGTCCCATCAGGGAAACAGGTGCCAAGCGCTGCCTGCTTGCTGAGCCCTGATGCCCGGTGCCCGCTGACACACAGATGTGCGCAGGGGGGAGGGCCCTGGCGGGAAGACGGCGGTGTGCAGACCAGAGCATCACAGACCTCATGTGGAAAGCAGAGGGAGAACCCTACAAATAAAGCCTTCATGGTCCAAGGACAGAGAGCTGCATGCTGGCTGCATACTCTAGTCCTGAAGACAGCAGCAGCATTTCTCTCCAGCTTGCAGGGAAAGCTTACAAAGATCAATCAAGAAAGCTGTTGAGGGTGACACTGTCCAAAAAGAAATGCACTTGACCTGACTTACATAACCAAAACCCCTCTGTACGTCACCTTTATAATAGCAAAACAAAAACAAAAAAGAAAGCTATTGAAAAATGGGAAGGTCAGGAGGATGAAGAAAGAGATAGAAGAGATTAATCTGACTTAAATTATAGCATAAACACTTAAGAAATACCATGGTGAAAACCCTTTATACAATTAACATACATAACAGAATGAGGAAAAAAAAGATCCAATGTCAGTCCCTACTACAACAGGCTAATACTTGTTAGGATGGCAAGAAGAAGAAGAAGAGGAGGAGGAGGAAGAGGAGGAAAAAGAAAGAGGAGGAGAAGGAAACAAAATCAATGTTGACAAAGTTGTGGGGAAACTTGCTGGTGGGAACATGTAGTGGTGTAGCTGCTTCGGAAAAGCTTGATGACTTTGCACACAGCCAGCCCTGCCCCGACAGACAGCCGCACCTCCGTGTGCACACAGCACTGAAGACAGGAACCTGAGCCTGTGCCTGCCCACCCACGTCCACACAGCCGAGCGCGGACCCACCTGAGCACCACACTGCCAGGACAGGGAAATGAAACACGTCTGTCCACACAGTGGACATGATTCAGCCTCGGAGGAAGGCTGAAGGACTAAAACGAGGAGCTGGGGGCTGGGCCCTCACTCCTGTAATCTGAGCTACTCAGGAGGCTGAGGTCTGTCTTCAAGCCATAGATGATCTCAGATGTTTCCCAAGGCAGACACGCATTCTGGAGGGGAGGCAAGTGGGTGAAACTGCTATCGGTGACATGAGGGACGATGGCTTCAGTGGACGCACCTTGGAGGGCTGGAGGCGCCTCCTAGCAGGACTAACCAGTGGCTATGTAAGTCCCAATACCATACTCCTGAGCAATCGAGGGCTCGTAGCTCTACCTCTGCCCTCCAAGAAGAAGGTGGCAAGCTAGGAAACATGGGGGCAGAAAAGCTAAAGGTAGCACGGACATTGTTGACAAGCATCAGCAGCAGGTGACGCCAAGGAAGGAGGAAATGCAGCGCTCAATACTGGGAGACAAAGCAAGCATGAAAATGTCCCAAGTTAAGGTAATCACAAAATAATAGTCGTATTAATAACACAAAATGCCTTAAACAGCAGTCAAAAGGATCCGTGATACATTGTATACTCTGTCCCAATACATTTGAACCTTGAGTAAAATGTTTCCAGAAAAGAACTAATAAAAATCTGAGCGTGGAGCACTGGTGGCTCATGCCCATAATCCTCATTACTCAGGAGGCTGAGACCTGAGGATCACAGTTCAAAACCAACCCTGGCAGGAAATCTGTGAGATACTCATCTCCAATAAACCACTCAGAAAAGCTGGAGGTGGTGCTGTGGCTCAAGTGGAAGAGTGCTGGCAAAAAAAAGGGAGAAAAACAGGCTCAGAAACAGTGCCCCAGCCCGACCAGAAAAAAAAAAAGGCTGCAAACCACATGTAAGAGCAGGATGGGGGGCTGGGAAGGTGGCTCAGTGGGAGAGCGCTTGCCTTGCATGCAAGAGCCCTTGAGTTTGATTCCTCAGCACCACATAAGCAAAAAAGAAGCCGGAAGTGGCGCTGTGGCTCAAGTGGTAGAGCGCTAGCCTTGAGCTGAAGAGCTGAGGGACAGCGCCCAGGCCCAGAGTTCAGGCCCCACAACCGGACACCCCCAAAAAAAGAATTCATAGATGGGATCTTTCAAACATCACCAGATAATTCCCATCATATTTAGAATTCTTAGAGAGGAGAAAAAAAGGAAATCATCTGGGTTGTTTTTGCAAAAGTCAGGAGAGTGAGACTCAGACAGAGAGGCACACAGACACAAGCACACTTGCTGCAGGCCGCTGAGGCCTGGGCGCACACCTGCCGGAACAGCGGGCTCGGCCTGTGCCTCTTGGGCAGGAGGGCTGGACTGGTGCTCGGCGGCTCCTTTCAGGAAGGCGCAGGAGTGTCAGCGGCACAGTGGCATCTTGGACCAGATGCCTGTCACCCTCAGCACCTTCTTCTACAGATGACACCACGATTTCCTTCACACCCACCGTCAAAGGCCGGCTGGCCACAGCCTTCACCCCTGCTCTAGAAAGGCCCGCTGGCAGGACAGACCCTTCCTTCTCCATCATCTTGCCTGGCAAACTGGCACGGCCAGGAAGGGGCTGGTGGGACCACGGCTGCCCAGTGCACAGCAATCAGGAAAAACAAGTGCAGGCACGTGCCCCATAGACATACTGTGAGAAATAAGCTATACATCTTGTGAGCAGAGAGGGGACACCTGGGTAGCCAAGCAGGGGATGGCGTCATCCAAAAAGAAATGTGACTCATTATCTGACTTACAAAATGGTAACCCTTCCATACAACATCTTAATGATAACAATGGGCCTATAAAAAATAAAGACAGCATACCTATAATGAGGAAGCCATGGCCAAAGTCGACAGATCTGATTATAGTAATACATGCGGTGAAAGTCCATGACCATCATAAAGGTAAATGCCAAACGTGGAAAGATTTAATAAATAACAAAATGTCACCTAAAATATGAAAGTCAGCCAAAAAAAAGAGAATGGTACCAACCAGTCAACAATCTTGTATGACTGAAAGATGCCGAAGTGCATTACTCCTAAATATAGGCACGCATCCATATGCATATGTACATACATATATACTCATTTGTTTATTTAAATGAGATCCAGCTGGGCAGCATTGTGTGTGCCCTGCACCCCGGTTACACTGGAGCAGGGCAGGAGCATCTCTGAGCCTCAGACCTGGGACCCACCAGGGTTTCAGACCATGCGAGGTGGATTTTAGCCACCAGGTCAGCAGCTGTTTGGCACAATCCCTCATCCAGGTGAGGGTGGGGTTCTCAGGGCAGTACACCATCAGGTAGAGTCAGGTAGAGTACGCACCAGGGCCCACTGTGGCCACACCAACAAGGATACAAGGTGTCTTGACAGACTACCCTGCTGTAGCTGTGGAGAGCGAGCACACGCAGACAAACCCACAGCTCCGCTGCAATCTTGTGTGGCACATGGCACTGCCCCACAAAACAGGGTGTCACGCTTCCCACACTGGCATGGGTGCCACCTCAGGACATGGACCGCTAGTCTGTACCCAGCTCAGAGAAGCAGCTGGTAAGGCCGACTAGATGGAGGATGTGAGCAGCCCTCCGGTTCCTCTGTGGCTGGGCCACTTAAGAAGTGATTAAGTCACAGGGCTGTGCTTTCCAGAATGGGGTTAGCGCCCTCCGCAAAGGAACAGGAGCCTCTCTCACCTTCTTTCTGCCCTGGGAAGATATAAGGAAGCAGCCATCTGCAGAAGAAGAGGCCCAGATCAAAGCCAGATCTGCT